TGTGCTAGTCTACAACACTAGTAACAGGGACCCACCACAGTACGTACATGTATATACGATTGTGTGCGATTCGATATGTTAGTCCTCCTTTTCCCAAATGGGGTAAACCCTGCGTCACCACACTGAATTCCAAAACCAGTGGGTCCAGACAGTTGAGACGTCCTGGTGAGTAGGCATCCTCGGTTCAGTCGTTTTTGTGTTCAGCCACGAATCGGCGTTCTGTTTCTTCACCTGGATGGTAGGCTTTGCAAGAGTGGTAGGAACTCGTTGTTCTAGACCCTGGGATGGTCAACCTACCAGGATATGTCCTGGGAGCTCGGATGTCGGTCTCCCACGCCCCGAAGTGGGGACCCCTGAGTTTTGGGCACGGTCCTTCTCCTTCCGCTTCCGCTCGGAGTTCGTTCCGGTGTTTCCGAAGTGAAGGGATGTGTGATGTGAACCTTAGCCTTCAACGACCATAAAAAAGAAGGGTTGTCATGGTTTGGTATAGTCTAAAATCCTTGGTAAAACAATGGTTGTTCGGGATTCGAACCAATTAATCAGTGTGGTTCCCAGAACTTCCGGTTTGAATTTGGATCCCAGGATATGGGTCGAAATTGGTAGAAGGAGTCATGACTTCCGGGGAGGTTCTGGGGGTTTCATGCGGTTCTTCAAGTCTTTGCCCTCTGGCCCCAATCAGATAGAAAAGTGGATCCCCACTAAGAATATTGGAAACCGTTTCTATAATATATAGATATATAGATATGTCTTTTTTTTGGGCGACCACACCACAAGGTACCAGTTCTCAGCCTCTCTTGCGCTCAGGGGCCCTTCACCACCAGCCAAATGCAGAATTGGCATCAGGCGGTTTTAGCTTTCACAAAGCTGCGGGACGTATCTAGGAGTTGATCGGTCGTGGAAGATACAGCTCAAGAGTTTCACGATTTCAAGGGTAACAAAGAGTTTAGAAACGGTTTGAAGATTTCAGTTGATTTTGCAGACTTTCTTCCAATATATTGTTTTCACCAATGTTTTCAAGTGATTCCTTATGTCATGCCTGGGATTTGCGGTAGGTTTCAGTTGCCGGTTGGAAGGGTACCGCTGGAGCTCGTCGTTGCTTTTTGGTCTACGCATCGGGCACCCAACCATTCTCCCACCTCTCCCTTAGGATGATGAAAGATGGAAGACCTGCACCCTAGGAGCAGCCTCATGGTGGGTCTAACCGGATAGCCAAGAGATGTCTCAGATCTCTGACCATCTTAATCGAACACTTCAAACTACGTTGGGTTGTCCCAGTCTCACTAATGCTGAAGTAAAATTATGCGCACCATCACTACTTTTGATAGAACCCACCTGGCCTTTTTAGCACCACATCAACATCAGTGAATTCTTGGCACACTACAACACATCTTGCTGTAGAAGTCCTATTTTGGGCCCAATTGGAGGGGGTTCTTCATCAAGAGTCTTGGAGAGTCGGCGCCAAGAAAACAGCCGCTCCGGCGCCAGGTGGGTTATTTTCGGCCAGATCTGCCCATCAGGTGGGGCGCCTTGGGAGTCGTTTCTGGGGGTTGGTGCTGCGGTGCGTGGCATCCAGAGACTCCTTAGTAGTCGATTCCTGCTCCTTCCGTACGAAAAAGCCAGGGCCCCGCGGTGCCATGACCCCAGATGCATATAGGTTATTGTACTATACTGAATACTGCACTGTTCAAGCTTCATGGAGTTCACTTCAGCAACTGGTCAGAAATGAAGATCCACTGTGGTTTTGGTGTGTGGTTTGGTCACTTTGGTCTTCACGCAGATTTTTGACTGGAAGATTCCTTCCATCCTGTTGGCCGTGAGGCTTAAAGCAGGAATGACCCAAGAGTCTTTTTGGAGACTATTTATTTACTATCAACCACGCTTCTGGCAGGCTTCAAGCTCCTTTGCTTTTGGCGGTCCTTCTATCTCCACTGAACCTTCATGGAACATCGGCTTCCCTCACGCTGGTCGTAGGTCAGCTAGGTCAGCCAACCTGGAAACCCCAACAAAACCAGAAACTGGTTCCAAAACGGCGCCAGAGATCCTGGGGGATTAGATCCATTCATCCATTCTTGGTTGAAGCTGTGTGACGAAGGTCTCCCTGGTGCCATGACCAGCCGTGACCCACGAAGGTTCAGAGATGGACAGTTTTACCGCCTGGATCAGCTGTACCCGGATGTGGCTTGATTGGGCTTGGGTGTTGGGCGAAACGGGGTGTTGGGAGCGAGAGGGTGCGGATTGGAGTGATGGTGGAAGCTTCGAGGGTGCTGAGAAACGGGTGCAAACTACATCTTTTGTTGCAGCATGGGGGGATATCTAGCATGATAGTGGATCGAGACTAGTGTGGGGAGAATGCAACCTACGAACATGGCACATGGGTTAATAAAAGCACAAAGTCATGGTCCCGAAAGGAAGACGATGTTCCGAAGACCAAACAGGTGGTGGTGGTGGTGGTGGTGGTGGTGGTTTTGAGATGTCATACGAGGGTTGTTGGATGCTAAGAGATCTCCCATCCCATGCTAAGAGGTCTCATATCCCCTAGAATTCCTCTCATCTCCAAAAAGGGACAGAAGCCCAACCAGCACCCACCCCAACCCCCGAACCGAAACAAAAGGGGGCGGCCAGGAGGCTCTGGGGGAACGAGGTGGGGCTTTGTGTATAGACTTGTACGAACCTGGAGTCTTGGCACGGGCGGGAATTTGAAGAATCACACACGTTTGCCACGTTCGGGCAAACCAGAATGCGCATCCCTGCCTGTAACATGCCATGCAAGGGGGATGTGCTTCGTTTTGGACTGTTTTTGACCAAGCACTCAGAAGAACCACGCTTTTCAGGCCCCCCCCATTTTAGAGGGAACGCTCCAGACCTTGATCCTTCTTTGAATGGAACCTTGCCGTGGATTCAAGTGGATCCCACACCCCTCCACCTGGTCACGAGGTGCGCCCACCAACTGGGTTCGGTGGGCCTCCTTCTCTTCGAAATTCTGGTGCCAGTCTCTGTCGGGTTCTTTGCTCCACTTTTCTGTTGACTACGTGCTACTCGCCCGGGCTGTGAGACTAGAACGCGTGACTTTGGCGCCCAATAGGTTTATTTTTTTGTGCGGTTTCCGTTGAAACAACTGGAGTCAGGGGCTGCAAGTGCTACTTCGTGAAATGGACACAGTCTCCACCCTTTGACCAACCCAACTCCTTCAGGCGCCCTTCAGATCGCTGCCCATGGCCGTCTGGGGAGCCCGGGCGTGAAGGTGTGAGCAGTTCTTCTTGGTTTGGCGGCCTCCGGTGATTTTTGGTCTTTTCCCGAACGGGTGAACTCACCCAAACCTGGAGAATCGTTTCTTTTTTTTTGGGGGGGTTCGACAGCAAATCCAGGTGGGGGTGTTGCTTGGTGAAGGTTCGGCTGTTCATCTTATTGAGGTGGTGTACACCAGAAAGGACCGAGCGGTGACGTCTGACGATGAGAGATCGATCTTCGAGACACTTGCAACAAAAACGGGGTCATGTGGGTCCAAGCAAGGGTACCAGAAAGCTCTCAGAGTCTCAGAGCTTTGGTTCATTCCCTCCAGTTCCAAACATCAACTCTGTTTGACCCAGAGGAACCTTTCGTTTTTGTACTCCATGTGAAAGGCACTCTGCGGTCCGAGCTAGAAAGACACTCTTGGCGAGTTCCGAGCTTCAGTTGAAAACAAGAGACATCTATCTATCGATATACAGTATGTATACATATATATAAATTAGATGTGTACAGTAATGTCCTCCTTTTGAAACTATACCTTTAACAGGTCTCCTCTTGGGGCTTTTGGAGACAGTGGAGACTGAAAAGTGGCAGGGACCTGTTGTAGGGTGCTGGTATGTATAGACATAGTTTCTTATTTTGTCACTCGCAAGAATGAAGCAGATGCCTTCAACGGATTCCGGTGCCCCAAAAAGGCCCCAGCCCAACCTGCTCCTTCTTCCTCCCTTCTCCGGCACCACGTCCGATGTTGGGTGGGGTGACTAAGGGGGACCCTTGAGAAACGAAACGGGTCACCGAATTGGGCCTTGCTTCACGGAACCGGTCCCCCGTCCCACGCGGGGACGAGGCGGATCCGCGTGCCCAGGCAGCTCAGGTGGAGTCGGGTTGGGAAGACGAAAGGAACACCTGCACCCGTCACCCGTCCCATGCAATGATACCTGGATCTTCCGGCCTTTTCAGCCCCCACCGTATTACCTTCTACTGCAACGGGGTGCCTGGCCGACGCAGTCAGTAGCCCTCCCTTTACGAACCGGAAGAGGGGTTCGCGGGGTTGCGCCGCACCGCCGCGAAGGGTTTGGCTGGGCTGGGAAAGACCCAGACCCAGCCGAAGGCGCGAGACCTTCAGGGGTTCACACCACTGCACAAGGAAATCGAAACCGTTACGGAACCGCCTTGCGGGTCTGTCCCATCTGGTGTCATCTCGGTGGGTCCTTTTGTAGCGGGTGCCCTATACGTCAAACAAACGTTGGCAAAGAAGGGTCAGACGAAAGAAGGGTCTGGATGGTTCGGGAACGTCCTCTTATTGGAAGGATAAGATTTCATATAGTCAAAGTGGACTTCTAGGGTATGACTAGAACGAATCATGGGAGTTCGAGCTGCGCATCCGGCGCTGATATGTGGCTCCTGGTCATTTTATACGGACGCTATGCCTCCCTGTGGCGTTGGCCGTCTCCCGGCTCCAACTTGGTCCAGCACAGCTTCGCGCCACGAGCTGCATCTCACGAGGGAGCCATACTTCCAATGCTAGGAGGGTCCTTTGATGCAACACTGGATCCATCGACTCAAGAATGAATCCTTCACATCACCTTATGGACATCACCTCGAGTCATTCCCAGGTCTGTAGAACAAATACCCAGCTTCATTCAACATCAACTCCATGTCTTTTGGACAAAGAACCATCATCTTCACCGCCTCCTCGCCTCCGCATCTCCGCATCCATGACGCGGCGCACCTGCTTGGACACGCGCCTGCTGCAGCTGCGGCTCCGTGGCATGGACGGCCAGGAGCGATCCGAAGCACGGTTGGCCACCTGGACCATGGGACCCTGGATCCTGTCTGGCTCCGGTCCGTTTTTTTTTCCTCTAAAACCAGTACCACGTGGCGTTTTTTTTCTTTTTTTCCCGATTGGGATCGTCGCCAGCATCGGTGTGCATGTGTTCTCCAACAAGACTTTTTCAGAAAGAAAGTGCCTTTGCCGAAAAAGAGTTGGTGAACTCCACGCCTGTCGACCACCGTCGAGTCTCAGGTTGTGACTTAACGGGGAAGGCGTCTGATTGGCCCCTATAGGGCTCCTGTCCCATATCCTCAGGTGGTTATATAGACCCTCCAAACCCACTCCAACCACCGAACCGAAACGGAGGTAGGCCAGGAACCCTGGAGTGCTGCAATGGCTCAACAAGCTAAGCACGTTCTCAGCGAGCTGCTTACAGTTCCAGGGGACTTGCGCAAGCCATCTGGATCTGACGACTTCAGAATCTAGTTGGACTCTAGAGTCATCTACCATTTTCACAGCCCAGATACCTTCTCCAAAGGTACGTGGAGCCCTAGCGGACGTAGACGGTTGATTTTTAAACCCACCCTTACCAGAATCGTTATACCTTGTATTTAGCAGGGTGGGTGTTTTTTCGGCACAAAAGGCTTCACGTCTTCCAAGGACGAACCTAGAACCCTTGGAAGACCGGTGGAGGCGTCTCAGCACCAGTCCATCTGAGTGAGTCTTTTCTGCGGGCCCCGAAGCCGCCAACCAGCAGCTTGGGCGTTCGGTTCCGCTCGAGCGAACCGAACCGCACGGCGGCCACAGTGAGGCCGCCCTCTCTGAAAAACTCGCCGCCGTCTCCTGCCCAGGAGACCCAGCTGCAAGTCCCAGACAACTACACTGCGGGGCGGCTCGTGCAGGCAGGTCGTTGAGCTTCACTGTTGTTTGTGAGAAAAATCAACCAGGGGATCAACCCTAGGGCTCCTGTCCCATATCCTCAGAAGGTGCTCAGACCCCCCCAAACCCACCCTAACCACCGAACCGAAACGGAGGTGGGCCAGGAGCTCTTAGGGCCAGTTCGATCTGCCTGGATCTGGGGCTCGGATGCTGGAGAGGTGCTGCATCGGCAGATTCCCATGAAGCCTGGCGCGAAGATGGCGCTGCTGTGGAAGCACCGGAAGATCTTCATGGACGAGCGACTGCCACGTGGATGGTGTTGGATACCATTTTCATTCCTGGAAGTCGAAGCACAATTGATTTAATAGCCCGAATCCCCAACAACCATTGTTTTACTAAGGTGTTACACTACAAAACCGGATCAACAATCTTAATAATGGTTTTGGACTTCCAGGGGTTAATATTTATATCAGTTTACATTGTACAAATTTCATTGATATGCGTTTTATTAATTTGTATATAACGAGTTCTATTCCCCCGGTCGCTAATCAATGCTGTACCTGTCTTGGATTGTGTTGGAGTTCGGTTTGTTCCGGACTTGGGCCGCAAAAATAGGGCACTCTGAAAAATGACGACATCCTTCGTGAATTGTCAGGTTTCCATACGAAGCGAATGGGTCGTTTCTGGGATGTGGCTCTCCAAATGAGAGAGTACAAAACCCCCCCTATACCAGAAATTCGTATTGTCCGTTTTTCTGGAAGCATGCCCAATCCCCTGTAAAACCATAAGGAAGAACAATAACCGATACGCCTCAAATGTTGTTAAAACGGCTTTCAGAGCCCACACAGAGTCCCATCAGTGACCCGGTGGCGTCAACGCCGGTGCTGACCAGTCCAGTCCTTGACATGCCGGTGATCAAGTGACCCTCCAGTTTGGGTGATCGGCATTTTGCCTGATTTAGGTCGGACCTTGGCATGGAGGACTGTGAGGACTGGATTTCTGGGGTGGAAGGGACAGGGCCGGAGTGGGACTGGAAGGTGGATCAATCCGCAGCATGCATGGGTTGAGGTGCCTGCACCCGACTTCAAGTACCTTGGAAATGGATGGAAATGGGACATGACCCTACCAAAACAGGTCCGACTGGACCACACTTTTGGAAGTACTTTGAGGGTCTAGGTGCTACTTCTTGGTGCTTTGCAACCAAGCATGATTGGCTTACAGCTGTCCTGAGGCCAGCGGGAGCTGTTTTTTCCTTTGCATCGCCCCTGGCGCGGGGCAAGAGAGTCCGTCACAGGTCAGCGATGCCCAACTCAAAGTGCAGAGGATCTCGAGGCCCTCACCCAATTGGTTTCAAAAAAGCCGAATTTGAAGGTCCCGAGAGCCTCTCTACTCATAGAAGTCGTGTATTCTTTTGTAGGAGGCCACCTTCCAAAGCTCAGCGCAGGAGTTGACCTATATCTTTGAGGCCACTGCAGTGTGACTTGGGATGTCGAATTGAGCAAAGCCTAGCACATCTCCTAGGAGATGGCAAGAGTGACGAGGAGGTTTGAAGGGCCTGGAGGAGCTTGCAAACTCAGATTCGGTCAGGCTAGCGCATGCTGCGCCCCGAAGTGCTGCGATAGGGGTTCACTTTCCCTAGAATAGACCCAATGCTTACCAGTGGCCCTCAAAACCACGAAAAATAGTGATTTTCACGAAAAAAAGATATGCCTTTTTGCTAGGGAACAGCTGGGCCGTGTGAAATCCCCCAATGCCTAATCCAGAACGGCCCCTTTCCGCGGCCGTGCTCAAGCCGCACACGACAGGCTTCCACGTCGCTGAGGCGACAGGCCTGCGAGGCCTTTGCGGGGTTGGTCCATGGCGAGAATCGGATCTATGCACTGGAAGGCCTCACGAAGCTTCACATCGGTCCGGGATCCCCAGGTATCTTGGGCGGGTTGGAGCAGAGGTGTCGTACAGAGAGAGAGAGAGACGTGGTATGACATGATCATGAGTGATTTCAGTGACCTGAAAGGAAGAACTGTGACCTGTCGCGCGGTCCAACCCCGACGTCGCAAAGTGGACCACCCTCTCAGGCAGAAACCTACAGGGAGGGCTGCAGAACATCCACTTGCCAGGCAGTTCGGCGTCAGTTGCCGGGATTTGGGATGCTTTTTCATCGTTTTTCTGCTTTGAACCGACATGCCACAAGACGTCCGGGACACGCCCAGACATCCATGCGCGTGACAAGCCGTGACCGGAGGCCAAACGGTCGGGTCATGTCACTCATATCTTCCAAGCCGACCCAACGATTTGAGGTCTCAAGGAGACGCCTCCCCTGGGCCATGGTTTCTTTTTCTTCTGGCCGGACTCGCGTTTGACCTCTTGAAACCGGGGCCATACGGCGGGCCCCTGCACTGCGGTTCAAGGCCGGCCAAAACATCCTCCGAAGCGTTTTCGCCACCGCCCCAAGCGCCTCTAGTCGACGAGCGGTGAGAGATTTGCAAGCAATAGGCGTGAACCGTCGACATCTGTGCCAATGCAAGGGTACACTCGCTGCAACGAACATGGAAGTGGAACATGACGCCTTGGAAGACCATTTTCCGAAAACCAAACAGGGGGTTTTCCACTTCCATGTTAGTTCCATGGAGTGTACCTTTTCGGAGGGTGGAGTTGAACCACATCCGCTTCGGGTTGGAGCCTTTTGTTGACCGAACGCTGTGGTCTCACTGCGTCTCGCATGACCGGGGAAGACCAAAAGGGGATGGCTGACAAATGGGAGCGTCGTCGGCATGCGTCTTCCAAACACTAATGGAATCTATGAACATGGACATATGACACTGTCGCAACAAGGTTTCAGGAGCATGTTTTTTTTGGTCCCCGCCATAGTTGCAACACAGACCATCAAAGATTCCGGACCCAGAACATTTTGTGAATGGTTGGTTAGTTTTCGTCCGAACACAGACTGTCACAGACATGTTTATTTCATTTTTACATATTTCCCCAAAAAATTCACAAGATAAGGTTCTTTACCAGGACTCACAAAGGGGTGCCGAACTTGGAGGATAGGGGTTGCCATTTTTCACTGACTTAGGGACTAAAAGTCGCCCCTTCGTGACTCCTGGTGATTCGTCTTTTGTATCTTAAGAGTATAGTCGGATTAGATCAATTCTTTGTCTCTTGGGGTCCAATTTAAAGGATCTCGAGCTCCCGAAAGGACCTGCAAACTGCCTGAAGGGTTTCCTACCCTAGGGCCCTAGATGATGGGCCATGCGATGCGAGCCAAAAACAGGTCCCAAGTTCGGTCCTATCACAGGTCGACTCCAGGTAGTCAGACTTGGTGCTAGGCTCAACTTCGAGACTTCAGGTTACTTCGCGACTGCGAAGACGGCCATGTCGGGCACGCTGTGACCGGCCCCCAAAACCACCGGGACTCTTCCACTGACTTCGTGCGCGTGCGCTCTTCGTGGGCGTGGGCGTGGTGGGCGTTGGGTGGTTTTCGCTTGGAACGCGCTGCCAGATTCTCTCCAAGCGCTGACCTTTGGCGCCTTCTTCGACCAGAGCTTGCAGGGAGTCACCTTGCCAAGCAGGCTGAGGCCGAGTTGTCAGAGACCTGTAGTGGTTTTTCGGTTCGGGTTCCGGTTCAGTGGAGAAACGGCCCCTATTGCCCGGTACTGAAATGGAATCGGCACCGGGCGCCTGGGCGCGCCAGGATCTTGGCTTTTTCGTCGGTCTTCAGTCGGCGCTTGGACCCAGCACCATCGTTGAGGTGGGGCTCGCAATCGCCGAGGAGGGAGAGGAAGAGAAGAGAGCCATGGAAGGAAAGTCTACTAGGCCTAGCCAACACCACGGAAAGCTTCGAGGTCAAGGGGGTGTTTATGAACCATCCCTTGGGGGTCAATCTGTTGGATCACGTAATTAGCTGTTAATTAGTGGTTAACTTGGGATTCACCAACTGACCAAGCGATCGACGGGTGAAAGATTTTCTCTCATTTGTTGAACAAGCTCCCCACGCTCCTCACGCCAGCTCTCTCCACACCTGGCGCTCACAGGAGCATTTCCTTGGACGAGGACTTCAACCACCCGCCACTGGACCAACGGCGGTCGGTGCTAAAGGGCGGGCTCTTGGGACTCTTGGGGGTCTCGGCCAACCAAGTCCGCCGTGGGAGATACTCTTGATGAAGATTGCATAAGATTGCTGTACTGTACCAAGACCACCCAGTTCGGGTGGTTAAGAGGACCGCCTGACTGTGTATGTTTCCACTGTGGGTGGTGCTGGTTAACGATTCGTTCTCAAATTGGTGTCAGTCTGGTTCTTCTGTTCACGACCGAACTTGAATCCCCCTGATTGACGTTTGTTCACAAACAGGCCTGTGTCAAGCGGGTCACTGGCACTCCAAAAAGGTCATGGGACCTGAAGAACCAGGAGTCTAACCATGCATCTTGCATATGAAGAGAACTCAGACGGTCTAACCATGTCTTGACGCGAAAAGACCCTGTTTTGGGCTCCACCACAAGGTCACTGAGCTTCGAGGGTGAAAGAGAGAGGGATCTCCCCTGCCTTTTTTCACGCTCCGGCTCGGAATTGGGCGAACAGCGAGCCTTGGCCATCCTCACTTTTTCCTTCGGATTCCAGGATTCTTTCAGACCAACTGGGCCAAGGTTAGCTTCCGAACCCAAGGGGTGGGACTTGAAGCCACCCCCTCTCCCACCCACTGGTGACTTGGGGGTCTCCCTCTTAAACAAAACACTCAACCAGTGCAGTTCGTTCGGTGACTTGGGGTATCTTGGGGTCCAAGGTCCACAGCGTAACCCGAGCATGAGATGGGTGAACACCTCGGGGGAACACCTCGGGTTTTGTACTGTCCATGGTGAAGGGGGAACTGCTCCTTCACCAGGTTCGTGGTCATTTCCCTCAGGGAAAATTCATCACATGTTTTTGCACCTCCTGAGGTTGCAGCAAGTGACTTTGCCCGAAGGCTTGCAGACCTTAAGCTTTGGACGGAGCTTCAATCAGAGTTCCTTGGCTGCCAGGAGCTTCAATTTTCTACTCCTTCTCCTGTACGAGCCAAGTGTCAGAAATGTCCGACCAAAGAAAAGAACCCTATTGAGGTCTTTTCTGGGTCATCCTTTTTGGTCAATTGGCCCCGGATAGCTCCAATTGACGTGGATGCCAGGGGGTACGCATCGACTCTGTGTAACCCTGGGAGCCCAGTCGACCATTTCAAAAAAGGCTCTGACTTGGTGATCCGAAAAAAGGTCTTCCTTTGCTTGGCCGAACATGGGTCGTCGAACTGGACATTTGTCGGCTTTGACGAGTCACCCTGTCAGGGGCGTCCCCCACGCATGCCGCATCGTGTTTTCGACCTAAAACCGGGTGTGACAGGGTTTGGCAGTTGTTGGTTGACGCGTATGTTCACCACGAAACATCTACGCCGGGCGATGGGGTCGTGGTTCTGGACACCCCGAACCCGTTTCTGGAAACGGGGCTATGGATTAGACACCCCGAACATGGGGGTGCCTGGTATATATGGGTATCAGCATATTCAATTGAGTCGTACCTAGATCTTCCAACTATGCCAAATGTCAGCCCTTTGGCTAGATTTTATATGTGTGAAAAGGCAGAAGAAATACAAATCCTCTGGCTGGAAGAGGAAAATACTAATCCCCTGGCAGTACTTTGTTTTTATCACAGCTGGAAGATGCAGGAAAAATACTTATCCTCTCGTGCAATGGGACCTTGAAGGTCTTGGGACCTTGGAGGTCTGGATGCCGTGGCTGGCACGGGAAGTATATGCCAGGACCTTCCTTCTGAGGTGTCTATAAATAGCCTCGTAAAAGAGGTGAGTCGGGGTGTCCAAAAGCCACCGGACTTGGAAGTTCCTCGTATATTGCTAACATCATGGATGATTGATGTTCACAACAAATACTCCGCTGAGATTTACTCGTGTTCAAGCATGCTTTCTTGCAGGGAATGTTGCCAGTCTTCCCTTCTTCATCTCCCGGGAGGTTACAAAGGCTGACTGCAAGGTACAGACTGCATGGACACCGGCATGTATGGAGGAAGTGGCATCCTGGACGGTTTCTGGTGATGTCAGTTCATGGACTTCTTCTGCAGTGCAGTTCGCTTTTGCCCATGAACCGATGAAACCATCGCCCTCGTGAAGAGACCCAGTGGGGACCGTTGACTGTGGGTTTCCTCTCAGTGCCTCGCTTGAAGTGAAATCATGACCGAACCAAATGATCCGTTGAGACCCGCGGTGCGTTGTGTGTGGCGCGTGCGCCTGCGTGTGGCGCGTGCGCCCGCGAGGCTTGCGGGGCCTCAAGCTGCCAGCGAGCCTTCTGAACTTAGTGGCTTTGGATCGGTTGCGACAGGGAGGTTCGAAGTGGGGTGGTGGTTGGGCACTTTTTGTTGGAACTCGAGGAAGGTTTTTGCGGCGCTTCTGTGGGTGAATTAAGGTGGTGCAGGATGTGAGGGTAGATGGGCCAAGATGGGCCGCGATGGTGCTCGTTTCTGGAAGGTCTGTTTTTAATCCGGCTGGTGTTTCGTTTTGAGGGGCTGAGGTGTTCACTTGTTTTTTTCAAGGAACCAACACATCCATTTTGCTTTGATCCCTGGCCCAGCATTTGAATTTTTACTGGTTCGAATGTTTTCCTAAGGATTTCAGTCTGCACCACCAGGTCAATTGTTCTTTGAACGGTCGTATTGAACGCATTGGGGAATTGGAGCAGGCAGGGATGGTCCAAACCGGGCAAGAAGCCCTCTCTATCTCCATCCAGCCACCGAATTGGTTGACCATCTCTCAAAAAGTGACGATGTGGCTCCACCGAATTGGCAAAACAATATGTGGGTCGCATCCCGTGGTTCTGTTTTCGCCGTCGTGTGGCGTCGTGCAGTCGCCGTGCCGTTCCGTCCTCCTTTGAGTCGGTGGCCAGTGGAGGTCTTCTTTTGGGTGAATCGACCCTGGCAGCGCTTCAGAACATAGACGACCTGAAATCATCCCTGGGTGACGAGGATTGAGGGATTGAGCGAGTCCAACTGACGCCGGTTTGGGTCCTCCGACCTCCGGGCCCGCGAGGGTCGCATGAGCGTTTCAGGTCACAACTCAGCAGACTCGCATCGAGTCGATTTCGGGGGGGTGAAGAAGGTTTAGACACCTCAAGCCCGATGCAAGGGCGCCTGGTTTGTGGTTTGTGGTGGTTACTGTACACCTCTTAACCATTCTTAACCTCTCTTAGGCCTATTCTACTCCCGAAAACGCTCTGGTGGTGCGCCGAAGCTCTCTCGCCGCATCTCAGTTCGGACCCGGACGATGGGTTCGTCCACCCTGCCGAAGCTCTCAAGGTCCTCAGCGCCAACTTCAATCAGAGCCTCCAAGGCGTTGACTTCCCGGAGCACTTGCAGACGCTTGGGACTCTCTTGGGGCGCGCCGTTTCTCTATGGACGACACGAGGTTGAGGGATCCAGTCCTACCTTCGAAACGACTGTACGACTGGACCCTCCAAAGCACAGAAACATCACCGTACCTCAGAGTGTGGCAGTAACATGTAATTATGGGGAAGGGGGTGTCTTTTGGTCCATCAGCCTCCACAGCAGCCTGACTGGCCGCCCGCCCAGCCTTGGTCCGTCGGTTGGTTGGTTGATTCATAAGGAATAGGGGGATCAATCCGAGGTTCGGTGCTGCCTTTCGACTCCCTCCCTCTGAAAAGGGCATCACCGGTGGACGGGCAATGCACCGTTTGGATGAAACCAAGTCCGAGTCGTCTTTGATTTTAGTCATACGTCTGGACCGTGGCTCCTGTTTAGAGCGATAGGTTGTTGAACATGGAGGATGATGCAGTTCATGGTGGATCTGATCTTGTTACTTCTGGTCCCCCCAGCATGGTGAAGCAAGAACGTTTTGAGGATGTGAATGCACCACCAGGTGACACCAGTCTCATCTTTCAAGGCCCTGGGCTCACCAGACACCCACCTCCTGTGCCCTGCGCCGGCGGAGTCGGCCACTTGCGTCCGTGCCGGGCGTCCACGAGTCGGACTAGTCACACCACGGTGTGGAACCGGTGGCGTTCCATCACTCGGCCCCGGGAGGTTTGTTTTTGTTGGCCACGAAAACTGCTGGGGTTGAGGTGGATTCAGGGGATGGATGGGGGTTTGGCAGATGGACCGGACGTGTTGGAGCGAAGGTCCAAAGGTGTTGGGGGTGTGCAGCACGGGATGCGTCGTGGGCCGCTTGCGCGCTGGTTTTGACTCCGCCGTGCCAAGGAATTTGGTCTTGGGATATCACTTCAATCAGAGTTTAGCGACCTGGATGGGTTAGAGCGAGATCTATTGATGAATCAGACCTTTTCTCTACCAGCCATGGTTCTTCAACGCAACCGAACTGGATATCCCAGGTGGTTCTGTCAGTCACACACTCACAGGCCTGCGTTTGACAGGTTCCTGGCTGGGACTCCAAAGCTCAGTCACAAACTAAAGGGGCTGGATGCTTCTACATCTCCAGGCCCTGGAGGGGACCTTCGATTCATCAAAGAGACAGGTCAGATCATCACCGGGTGTGTGATAGGGATGGGCCTATGGTAGACTGGTGTATTTTTCCAAACCAAACCCAGTGGGACGCCTGGGAGGTCTTTCGCCACACACCCCTTGTATATCTCACTTGGCGAGGGGACGGCGGCGGAGCAACAAGAGCTGGAGATTCACATGGAAGTGGAAAACCACCACCTGCTTGTAGAGAAGGGCCTTTCAGGAGCCCATCCACTTCCATAACGATATTTCACAAAACCACATCTCTTATGGTGTCCCGAGCTGGCTCACCGGCCTCCAGTGTGGAATTTCTGGGGCATGAAAAGTGCCTACATGCACGTGTTTCAGTGCACCCAAGTTCGCCTTAGCCGGGCCGCCATCACTGGCCGCGCCAAAAGGCGCGGCGCCCCCCGCACCTGGTCATTGCGAAATCGGCGCAGCTGAGGAAGAGGTGAAGTTGCCAAGGGGCTTAGCTTCCCTCCAGTTTGGGCCGCTCGCATTGCGCTGTGCGTACTGCTGGCCGTCGGTTTGGGGACTTCTGCAATCCACTGTGTGTTCCTTTTTGGTCGCGCAGGGGGTTGCCATGAAGAGGAGGGTACAGACCTGCTGGAAGACCTCATGATGAATAAACCTCCCAGTTTATGATGGTAAACCTCCTCACACCGGGGCTTTGATTAGTAATTTCTTTTTCACGAGCTTCTCAGAAAGTCACTTTTGCTTCCAGCACTTGCTTGTCGGGGTGAACGCAGCGAGCCGGAGCCACCCCAGATCGCGCGCGGAGACTGACCAGCTCGCTGACATCAGCGAAGTAGACTTGAGCCCGAAGGCTTCCACAAGCTTCCCACATATAGACTTCCGCTCCCGGTGTTTTTGGGTAAAGAAGAAGATGAGTGCCAGTCTTGGAGGTCACACTGCGATGGGACCAGCTGGCAGCCAGGAAGACCTACAACTCCACTGCTATAGGACACCTACAAGTCCACTTTCACCAGCGAAAGATGTCAGGAAAAGCTTCAATCAGTCCTTAGAGCGCGTGTCCTTCCCCAAGAACTTGCAGAGCTTGACCCTGGGCCAGGACCGCAGCGTGGGTGACCGGAATCCTGGTGTTGACAGACATGTGACAGGGCAGGCGATCCGATGGGACGTGATGACATGTTTGGCATGAGTCGCGCCGTCCATTCTTTTGATTCGAGCTGCTTCCTACCTTTTGGCACCTAGTTCAACGGAATCAAATGAAGGAGCAACGAAACCGCCTTTCTTGTTGCCGGATTTTTTCTCCGACCCGGTTCGTTCCGCGACACATCTTGGGAATTACAGGGAGTGAAGACTCATGATTTGCAGGAACCCCAAGCAATTGAAGTGCTTGCTCGATGCCCGATGATTTATTCACGATAATATGTCATATATAAGTACATGCAGTATTGAAAAAAAGAAGTCTCTCTCTCTCTCTCTATGGGAATTCGAACTTCAGGAGAATGTAAGGTTCTAAGGACCGACTCGCCTTTGAAGTTTGGCTCGGAGCAGGCATTTGCCACTGAAGTGTGGCAGATGGCATAGAGGATGGTACCCCCGTACATCCTTTTTCTAGTTTCGGTGGCTGTGGGATGGCCATGGGACTTGGAGCCAACGGTTCACGTCGTCCTGGAGGAGAACCTCACTGGAAAGCCAGAAATGGGCGATGAAGCGGACCTCAACAAGACCGCAGAGACCGAAGGTTTCTTCTGGTGGTTTGAGGGCAGCGCCTGGGGATTCTGGAGCTACAGCAATGCCCATGGCGATGGAGGAGCATGGTTCGGGACGCCTGAACTACCCGGTCGACTTCGTGCCGAAGGAGGTTGGGCCGGATACTTCATTGACGGAATTGGAGTACAAGCCTTTGGAAGCTGGTGGCCTTGGACAGCCTGCGTGATCATGGTGAGCTTCAGCACCGGAGTGCTGGGCATCTTAACCTATAGCCTCCATACTCTCACCGGCCCTTGTAGGGCTTTCGGGCGAGGACTTCATGCAGCATGTGGATGGGCCTGCTGTCGACGCCGAGATGGGTTGGATGCACATCTTCCCAGCGCCAGACCGCCTATGGTGGACATCGAGTGGCATGGACCGAAGACTGGCTGGCCTACCGACACCAGGTACCTTCAGCAACGCTTGAAAGGCCGCGGCAGCAGAAGACGCCTCAATGATGTCGTCATTCGACGTGGAGGACATGTCGCACGACTACTTCAAGAAGAAAGCATGCTCAAAAGGATTGACAGTGACGGCCTGAGGGTGAAGTTCAATGGTGTCTCGGGATGCACCTCGAGGCAATTTCGCCGCGAGCTGGAGGAGGTGGGGGAGATCCACTTGTGCCGACAGCTCGAGTGCAGAGCAGAACACAGCATGCATATCCAGGAGTTCGCGGGTGTTGATCACGAAGCCCTTCTGGACCTGCATCGATACGCCCATGGCTCACCACGGTGGTTGTTGGGACTACTTGGTCGAGGAGTATGGCGCGTCCTTGGATGCTTGGCTAAGGTGATTCGATGCTGCTGTCGAACCTGCTGCACCCGGAAGATGAACCGCGTCATTCGAGATGAGGATGGGCACGAGCGCATGCTCGACCCCGACTCCGAATCTGAAGTGGAAGGTGATGAGGCTGCATGCCAAGGTGTGCGGATTGGCATAGTGGTTGAGGGGGAGATGAGACCCCTGGCACCTGATGGATGCAACGACATGGCAACCCAGGAGGAGACCACCTTGCTGGACGAGGACATCGAGGTTTCGGATGTTCGGCCACCTGGACCAGGTCAACTAACTCGAGTACCACTTTGCGCTCACCATCGGCAAGTCTATCAGAGTGCAGCAGCCAAACGAAAGTGTGGGGTCCTGACATGCCACAAGGCTTCCAAGGGGGCGAAGCATGGAGTTCCCCTCTGCTACGATCACCTTTGTGAACAAGGCGGTTCGAGCATGAGGAAAGACAGCCCACACCCGAGTGGAATGCTCCAAGGGTTCCGTCGTCGCTTCACCAGGAGATCTTCGAGCCGCAGCAGAAGCCCAGCCTTGGACGATGCGGCATCGCGCCCAGTCGCAGGACCCTCCGAGGACTTGAAGATTCAGGCCAAGAAGGAAAGCGGCATGGTACCCATCCGGTCCAATTCGGTTGACCTGGGCAAGGTGATGATTCCCTCCCCGCCAAGAGGCCTGCTCGACCAGGACGACGTTATGGGAAGACCAGTTTGGTTGAAGGTGCGTGTGACCTATGACAATGGGGAGCACGAGTGGATCATGTGCCTGGGCGAGCTGGCAGGCTACACACCGGGCGGAGTTCAAGGAGACCAGAAGCTGGAGATCTACGTCAAATACCTTGAGAACACGATCATCGTCGACCCCAAGTACCTGGAGGATATGGTAGAGGTCCACAATGTGGAGGAGGTTGACCCGGCGAAGGCACAACATCTGGTGAAGGAACTACCACAAGACGCAGCTGGTATTGGGTTGGACATCAAAGGCTATCTCGTCCCGGAACCTCTGATCCAACGGCTGCGATCCTGGGAGGGGCGGACGTTGGTCACAGGGAGACGGCTGAACAGCATGCAACTGGCGGAGGTCAAGCAAAAGCTGAGCACTATGGTCAGGAAGCACAGCGCTGGCTACATCAAAGGGGAGCTGTGGCCATCATGGCCTGCTGAGGCAGAGCTTGGCATTGACCGTCAAGTTCGAGGGCGTGATGAAGGCATCCCAAAGCAAAGAGGTGACGAGCCGCGACGGAGATCGAGGAGCCGCAGCCACAGCCTTGCACGGGTCATGAAGGAAGAGGATGAGGCAAAGCAGAAAGCCGAGTGCGGGATGCCGATGGAGGTTGACACCGAGGAGATGACAGGCGATGGGATCATCGAGTCCTATTTGACCGCCGTTGGAACTGGACAGACCCACAAGGAGGCGATTGACACCATCCAGATGATCTTCGAGGTGGACATGCAGGCCATCAATTGCGCTTTGAGAGGCTACATCCGGAAGAACTGTGGCCGGCAGAACGAGCAGGTTGAGACTGCGATCAAGATCCTCAAAGGGGTGGTTGAGCAAGGTCACCCTGCTGAGAAGAGCGTGCAGCAACTTGGGGAGACACCATCAACACGGACCAAGACGCCTGAGAGGAAGCCCGTGAACATGCATGAGAAGCTCTTCCCGTCGAGCTATGAAGGCATACGGGACGATGGCAACCTGATCCGCCCAGCAGAAGTTAGCAGCAAGGTCAATCCATTGGTGGCCAACGATGGGATTGTTGGGCAACTTTTTGGATTGGGCGGCAAGGTGGAGGACACATCAACGAGAGCGGGCGCTGGTGGAGATGAAGAAGATGGCCAGATGGGAGCCCGTGTCGTGCACGCACTAGAAGGTCTCAGGAAGGCGACCGAGGGGGACAAGAAGGGCAATCCTGGAACACGAGGTGCAATCGGTGCTGAGGAGAGCCTGGATGTCTACCTGGCCAGGGGATGCAACACCCTGACGGTGGAGGTATGCCCAGATGTGACTGGAAAGGAGCTCTTCGATGCACTGAAGAGGGCATGCTCGCACGCGAAGGCAAAACTGCAGCAGATCGAGTGGCCATGTTTGGTGACGAACGGGATTGCGTATGGGCTTGCAGCCATGCAGCATGGAGGCAAAGACCACACTACGCTGGCGCCCTGGCAGTTGAGCGTGGCACACGCAGTCACCGCAAAGCCCAGAGACTTTGACCAGTATGAGGCCCCGAAGGACGACAAGATCGAGCCCAAGCCCAGGTATCCGACTCATTTCGCTACCTGGCTCAAACAGGCCAAGAATGAGATCAAGATGCTCGGGTCGGTGCTGGGACTTGAACACAAGAAGGAACGCCTCAAAGCACTCGATCAGATCGAAAGAGCTCACGAGCAGGACTCAGATGTCTGGCCTGAGAACTACTGCTACAGCTTGTGGGAAGAGTTGAAGGCAGCCTGGACAGAAGAGCTCAGAGAAAGCAGGCGTCAGCTTTGCCGGATCCTCAACACGGACAACCCGCGGAAGGAGGACCTGAAGTTTGTGGCGCTGGCCCCAGACAGTGGCTTCCACTTCCCCCGGACCTTCGACCTGGCGCATCCCGATGGATACTACCAGCAGGTGTGCGTGCCACGACAAGCAAGAGCACTTAAGGGCATTATCTACGGGCAGCTTCATCACAAGAGGCAGGCACCGAAGGTTGGTGGAGATGCACCAGGAGCTGAAGGCGAAGCACATGGCAGAGAAGCAGGTGGAGAAGAAGACCGTGTGGGCAGAGGTCGAGACCGTGGGGGCGACAAGGACAAGAAGAAGAGGGAAAAGGAGAAGGATGAGAAGAGAGCCTATCCCGCAGGGAAGCGACTCCGACCTCGGGAAGCCGCTGACTCGGTCAAGCACGGGCCGCGCACCAAGGAGGGGAAGCCTATTTGTTGGGACGGAGCGACGCACATGGGCTGCAGCCGAGGCAAAGAGTGCAACCATGCTCATCAGCCGATCACTACAACCAAGGGGGCGCAGTTGATACGTCGTGGGGGCCTGAAGAGCGGTCCACTGATACAACCTGCACAGGTGGACGGTCGCATCGCTCAGCTACGAGCACAAGCCAAGGCGGAGCACGATGAGAAGGTGAAAGATGGTGGCGCTCAGAAGCAAGGATGGCTACCCCCTGAGGAATATGAAGGTGTCCAGTACACGCAGCTGGAGGACGAGCTGAGAGAGCTCACTAGGGGCCCGGATGTTGGATGGCTCAAAGATCCTATGCTCGAGCAAGGGAGGGAGCCGTGCACAATCTGGGAGCGGCGAGTGGAGCATCCGGAGGCGCAGAAGCGGCTGAAGATCTTGGAGGAGCTTGAGAAGGGTGGAGCATTTGCAAGGTTGGCCAACCAATCCAGCTACCTTCAGTCTCATGTGCGTGGTCGGATGCTCAATGCGATCATCGACAAGCAGGAGATGACGTTAGACGAGGTGCTCCTTGAAGCAACAGAGAAGGGCTGCCCAGAGCTGGCCCAAGAAGCTGAGAAGCTTTTGAGTGAAGGGCGATCGGTTGGTTGGTCCGACGACGAGCGACAAGCTTGGATCAGC